TTAAATCACATTTCTTCTTTTTTAATGGATCTCCTTAATCTTGAGTTTTGAGATTGTTGAGTTTGTTCTATAGGTGCTACTTGACAAAGAATATCACTGTTGTCTTGGTCTGGAACATTTTCAGTAATATAATTATGGACCTTGTTATATAATGCCAAAATTGTGTTTAGAATAGCACCAGACATAGAAACCTGATCACCATCATAACAGAGATTCTTCTTCAAAAATAATAATTTTTTTTTTCTTTCCCATATGCAACATCTTCAAGAAATCTTGCATTTTTTGTTTTAAAAAGAACCTTGATGTGGTATAGTAAAACTTGTAGCCTCTAGAGCATTCAATTTACCCAACGAAAGTACGACTAATTGTCCTTGAGTTTAGTTTTCTTTCATATGGCCCATAAGATTGTTTCTCAGCTCAACAAAACCTAAATTTGCAAGTGCATAATGCTTGGCGTTTTGCCATTCCAAAGTTCGTAAGGGTTTTGGAAGCTACTTTTTTGGTACCGTGTTAAGATGCATATTGCGGCCCTTAAAGTTTCTCCTCAAAGTGACTCTGGTTAGGGGGAATTACTAATCATACTCTTTATTATATTCTTAAGAGTTTGGCTTCATCATTTCGGAAAGCTGGTCATTGCTGGCTTTACCTGGCAAAGCGTCTTGAGGAACAATTTCACATTCTTCGAGGATAAGAGAAAGGTCATGGATGTTATTCTTCTAATTTGTCTTAGCTCCCATGCTACTCATTGCCATGGATCAATTTGACAGCGTCAATATTTTTGAAGTAGAGGTTCAACTTCAGCATTTAAAGATTTGAAGAAGTCCAGGTTTATAACATTTTATGTATCAAATATAGGTAATTGAACTTTGAGTAATTGTTTATGAACATGATGAAGTGTTGTTGTCCATTCCATGCAGCCATAAAAACTGAATCACAAGCAATAACTTGTATAAGCTCTAGACGTTTGTAGTTCTCTCAACACCAATGTTTCTAACTTCTGTTATATTTTCCTTGATGCACTTAACGAAGACATGAATGGCTGTTAAATCCATTGGCTCGAGAATTTCATCCAACACAGACTTTGAATTCTCTACATAGAGGTGTGACTTAAACATTTATGCCATAAGTTAGCAGAATTCTCACTTTATTTTGTTTTATATTATGTGAACTAATTTGTAATATTTTGTTATAGAAGCTACACCATCAAGTATATATAACGTATCGATTAAAAATTTTGAGCCAACAAAATTTGAACTTTGATAATGACCGACTTTATTATTTCAAAGTAATAAGAAAATCATGGTTTGTCCACTAAAAGTAGAAATTAAATTTCATCTATAGGAATGATCCATATCTTTGGAGTCCATTTCAATCTATGGACCAAATGCTAAGCATCTAAGGTTTTCGAAGGCAAATTACTATGCTTTCCAAAATATTTTCCTTGGACAAAATTTTAGTCGTAGCTCTAGTGCAAGAGTTGTAACTATGGGTGATCAAATTATTAAAAGGTGTGAACACTTTAGATATCTCGCGTTTATTGTTCGAAGTGATGGTTATATAGACGGGGATGTTATTACTAGAATTCAAGTTGGTTGGTTGAAGTGGAGGAATGCTTCAGGCCTATTGTGTGATAGAAAAGTAGTACTTAGGCTGAAAGAAAAATTTTATAAAATGGTGGTGAAACCTGCAGCGTTCTATGGCACTGAATGTTGACCTTTAAAAGAGAAGCATAAAACTAAGTTAAGCGTTTCCGAGATGAGAGTGCTTAGGTGGATGAGTGGCTTTACATTTAGAGACAAAATGCAAAATGAATATATCCGCGATAGGGTTGGAGTAGCTCTAGTGGCGGACAAAATTAGAAAGAGTCGTCTTAGATGGTTTGGTCAAATTAAACGTCGACCATCTGATGATTTGATTAGGAGAGTAGATGTTTTAGATTCAAATTATGTTAAGAAAGGCAGAGGTAGACCTAGAAAGACTTGGGCATATTGTATAAAAAATGATCTTAATTTATTAGAATTAAATGAAAATATGACACTCAACAGTAAGCAAATGGAGAAGAAGGATTTATGTAGCCGACCCTACTTAGGGGGATAGAAGTTTGTTGTTGTTGTTGCTGTTGCACAAAATTTTAGCCCCTAGGGTTAACATTACATCTACAAAATCAATGTTTCCCATGGTTACCAGTCTCTATGATAAGTAAGTTTTAGGTACGAAATTTGAAAACGCTCTTTATTCAGGAAATCCTGTGTGCTTTGTATTGGTGGTGGTTAATTTGGTTTTGTAATTTTGGGGTATGATTGGGAGATGAATTTACCAACCCATTCAAGAGCTAATGATTTTATCATATCAAGTCAACCAATTTAACAGAGCCTTCTAACACTAGAAGGTTTAAAGGTCATGTCTTCCAAGAAATATTAACAATCATAGATTGCTTACTATCAAATCTTTAAGGATATTTTCTGAGGCTATAAATTTGAAAATTAGCACCTAAGAGTTTATGGCTGAATATTTTTTATAGTATTTAGTACTTTTTTTTAAGCAATGGTTCATATCAGATATTTGACTTGAGGTGTTACTTGAGGTTCCACCGCTGAGGTTAGTGTTAATTTGGTAGATGATATGTTGATTGTCGATGAGGTTACTCAGATAAGGAACTCTCGAGTTTGCTCGAGATTCAAGATAGAATGCACTTGGCTCGAAGAAAGGCTTTGACTTTTGGGATTCTCTTGTTGGCTAGATTTGGAGCACACAGTTGATTAATCTCGATTTCACGGAAGGTGGGTAAGTTATGTCACCGCAAGAATGGTTTTGTTAATAAATCATTACAATTATTTTATCTTTGTTGCTATTTGGCATGATACAGAATTTCCTATTCATTGTGTTATAGATGGAGCCAAATATTACGCTTTATCATGTGACAGCTTGTAATTTCCTGCAGGAATAGTTTTAAAGGAAGAAAACATGAAATCAGATTATGCAACCCGACTTGTTTTTTCTTTATAAAATGGGACAGTCCACCGATTTTCTACCTGAATTTTTTTTTTCTTCTGGCCATAATAATCTGTGTAAATAATCAACTAAGTTTTGCTATTTTGCATCTGGCATTTTGAATCATTTGTTTTGAAGAAGTTTCTCAAAATATCTCATGGCTCATGATGGTTTTATGATAGTTCATGATGCAAATGATGCAAACTACCAAAATCATATATATATATATACTATAGCTCCAGTGAA